TCTATTTCCAATTGTTTACATAATTGTATGAATTTATTCATTTTATTCTTTTAGATTTTATTTTTTTTGAACATTATTCACTTGAAAATATTCCTTAGTCTAGATATTTTAGTTAACACCTTAGCTCATACTAACCTTTGAGGGACTTGTAGTTGATTTCATCTAGAGATTTGTTTCGAGCAAATCTTCTTTTGATGTAATTTTGTGTTATATTTTGAGAATATGCTTTAGGTGTTCCAGGTTAACTATATATAAGATCTTAACTGGTTATGTATTAGTACTATTTGTCTATTGTTGAAGAGTAGAGCTCCCTATTGCTAAACCATATGAATTTTTTTTATTGTAAAGATTTTGGAAGGTTTGATTTACAAGAGTAGTTTAGCAAAAATTTCTACAAAAAGTTTAAAATTTTTGTTCATATGAAAAGAGTTGCAAGAATTTCTAATCCTACTTCTAATATATTTAAGATATTAAATTATAGTCTTTCTTGATCAAGGCTTAAGAAATATGTATTTATGCATATATCCCATGATGATCATGTCTAATTTTTGGAATCATCAGGTTATTACTCATTTGGTAAGGTTAGAATTCTAACTAAACTTTAAAAAATCATAACTAAATATAAAAAAACTTGTAAGGGGATGCTTTAAAATCCTCTTGGAAGATATTGAAGTCTTTTATATGATAAAAATATAGTTATGGCTTTTACTCGTGCCTTAACTTAAAAAATTTAATTCAATATTTACACATCCAATTGACATGTTTTAGGACTTGTTAAAAAGCTTTATGTGTCTAGCTTCTCTTAAAAATTCACATGAGCAAAGAACATGGTTTACGTTATATTACACAATGAAAAGGTAATCTTTCTCTAAAAGATCCTAAACTATAGATAACACCAATTATGTATATTAAAATCATGATTTCAAGTGTCGTTTAGGATTCCAAATTGGTCATCATACATCAAAACATATATTACACATACCAAGTTCACATCATAAATTTACATGTCTCATGGGATTATTATACATTTTTCATCTTCTATAAAGTAGTGCCATAGAAAATTAATTCTTTCTTCCACTTACCTTTGCTTCTTGCTTTAGTTATTTCTTTGGACACTTCTAACCTCACATGGTTAGTCAATGGGAATGAGATTCAAGAGAATCTTAGCAGTAAACAATACCATTTAAGCATACAAGTCAAAAGCTTTATACATGACATGCTTGCTCTACTTAACTTCACGACTTACACATATAATGACATGTTTACATGCTCAATGTTTGATACATCATACACAAACCATGGAACACTTACAAACCGAGTTTCAAACACTCATTCATGATTCATATAATCAAGCAAGAAAATAATACATATCAACATACAAGCATAAATACCAAGCATGCAATTTTGGCTTTACTATTTCTTCTTTGTTTTCTTTGCTTCCATAACTTGAGCCACCTTGGTCATACTTTTAATTTCCTTTTCCATGACATTCATTGGCTCTAAATATTTTTATAGAATATTTATTACAATTGCTAGAGTCATTAATCACATTGTCAACACTGAACTTATTCTCCAATTCATCCCTACTTTCTTTATCTTAATTTTCACTTTACTTTTCCTTGGCATAAAATTCTTGTGTCATCATTTTTCCACTCAGTTTTCAGGAGAAATTTATTTTTAAACTTCAAATATCACAAATTCCCATCTTCTTCCCCTTGAACCAGCCTAGGGCGACATTATGGGCAATTGACACCCTGGATTGTGCTTGCTATCAAGTTATTTCATGCTTCATATTTATACAAATGAAGGCTAGGTTTTAAATCATATTTTATGAACTTAAACTTGATTAAATTCATTGTTTTATGCTGAGGAAAATTGAATTGTACCTCCCCTTAATTCCAAGCTTTTTCAATTTTCACAAAACTTGCTAAACTCTTATTCTATCATGCCTAAACATCTTTTAACACCATTTCCATGGTCTTAGCATCAACAAAATCCTATGATTTCCTCTTTGCAAAAACAAGGGAGCAACACTACATCAAGAAAACTTAATTAAATACCAAGATACTTAGCTCAAAACAAAGCTTGTATTTACCTCTTCTCCATCTACTAACTTGTTCTTGCTTTCCCACATCTTCCTCCACCTATCACTTTAAACTTATCCTCTTAAAAATCTAAAACCATAAGAATATTGTTTTTGATTAGAGGAAGAACTTTTGTGGAGAAAGTATAGGCAAAAGAAGTGATTTGAGTGGAGTTTTGCCTTAATTCCTCCCCCTCTCTTTCCAATATTGCTAGCCGATGAAGTGTTCAATAGTGGAAGTTTAAACCGAGTTTATTAATATTTGGAATCCAAAATATCTAATTTCTAACTTTAATCTTAACAATTAATTTTGATCAATTTTGGACCAAGTAAATTGCCTAACCTTTTCTTCCATTCTGGTCGAAAATGATGTCGCTATTCCCTCCGAAGTTGGGCCAAAAGGCTTATTATTTAGTTTAGGTAAAAATTTTGATATTTTATTCCTTGTCCTAATGGAATTGAATTAAATTAAATAATTTGTTATTTCGGAAATCCTTAACCAATAAAATTGATATAATTCACCCAAATATTTTCTCCTTTCTTAATAAATTTTCTTTAGTTTCTTGCTAAATTTAGGGTAATTTTTTATAATTACACTTAAAGACCCAAAACTTTTAAAAATTACTTTTTGACCTTTCACCTTCATCCTTTGTGACTTTGGGTACTTTTTCATAATCCATTATATTTATTTTCACATAATTACCCTTAAATAATAATTACCTTTTTGTCCCTGATGAGTTATTACTCTCACTCGCTTTTCTTCTTTTTCCTTTCTTAGCCTAATTAATAGTTGAGTTATCTTAGAAAAGTTCAAGAATGCTCTCTTTGTAATAGTTAGCCAAACTTAAGATGTTCATGTATTCTAAACTCATCCATGTCCATCATTTTCTTCATGGCTCAATAACTCTTAGATCTATTTTGACAATGAGATCTAACTGCAATGTCATTGTGCCCTTTTTTGATCAAGTATGATCCATAGGATCTAAATGCGATCCTTCTCTAGGAGACTAATTAGGATGTAATTATAAAATTGTCAAATAAATTTGCCATTGTTTAATTTGGCAATTACAATGACTATTTTTCAAAATTGATCTTAGATACCTCTATTATTCTTCTAAGCCTTTTTTATTTCTTTTATCCCATGAAGGACTCTTTTGTACTTTAACTTGCCCATTCCTCAATTATAGACATTTCCTTGAAGTCTTTGAAAATATTATGCCTCAAAAAAGCTTTAAATTACAATTTGGATCATGAGAACGATTCTATCTTTTTAGGGCACATTTGGGATTTCTAATTACTTGGTTTTAATAGCTTATTAAATTCAAGCATATTCTTGATCTTCTAATTAAGTCTAAAATTTAGGATGTTACACCCATTTTTCTTATGGGCTAAAACAAGATAGGTTATAGGTCCCCCCCTAGCAAGCTCGTCTTGACCCACGCTTAGCCCTAAAATCTACTAACTAATGTATAATTTTTGCTCAAATAAATATAATAAAATATAATAAGCATTTTATACCCAAGACAATAATGTTTAGGCCAAAATGAGTCTTTCCATTTGTAATAGTGTCCAAAGCCTTTTAATTTGAAGTCTCCAAGCCCAAAATAAGTTCAGTAGCCTTATTTTTTTCCAAAATCAAATTAATAAAGTTTTCAGCATCTTTGTTTAGAATTGTTGATCCAATTCCAGTTTTCTTTGTCAAAGTCTCTTGCACAAGCCGTAAAATCCCAACAATTTTGTTAAGAGCATTAAATAAAGTAAGAAGTGATTAGGAATATTGTAGTGTGATATTGGAGTTTAAGATTGAGTTTAAGGTAGAAATGGGGACTATGTTCAAGCCCGTCTGCTGATGTCACAAAGAAGGGGATCACTATGAATGAGATTGAGCACCCTTAGAAGTGGATGTGCTCTCTGATCAAAATCATCAAGGGCTTTGATTTATATTAGATACAACCATCCATAGTTTTAAACAGTAAGGATAGACCCTATTAAGTGGAGACAATCGCGAACTATCCTGAATTATAACATGCACGACTGTTCAAGGATTTAATATCAAAAAAGCATTTTACATAGCTGGAAAATGCAGAAACAAAGGGAGAGGGATGAGATTGAGAGAGAGGTGATGGAGAACACCCTAGGGTTCTACTTGAGCACAAGATTTCCATCAATTTAGGGCATTTTTGAGCTTGTAATTATTAGAGGTAAGTTTCTCATCCCTCCTCTTCCATTCTAACTAGGTTTTAAGGTTAGGGTTTCTATTTTTCCTCTTGAATTTGCCCCCTTGATTGATTTCTGAGCTTTGTGAAGTTGTTTGCCGAATTAATGGGGTAGCATGGAGTTATTAGAAGTTAGTTTTGCTCTTAGAACATTGATTTCTAATTGCTTGATCATTGAGCTCTAATTTCTTGAGTTTAGGTAAACCCTAGGCTTTTTAATGGAGAAATTGGATTATAGGTTGTTATAATTGTAGTTATTTAAGTTGTTGGGAGTTAAATGGAGTTAATGAGAGCTAATAAAATCATTGGAATTAAAGTTGCAATTGTGGTTGGGATTGTTGGTGATTAAAGTGTGAGATTATGAAGTTGGAAGTGTTGAAATTGAACAATGTTAGTGATAGTGGTTAATGTGAAGCACTAAGAGCTAGCGTTTAGCACAGAAACAAGTGATATTTGAGGGTAACCTTTGAGTTCTCAAAGGTTAAGGTAATCAGGAAAAATTTATTTCGTGTTATTGCTTGTTGAGTAATTGTAGGTGTTTATGAATTTGAAATGTATGTTTTATATACCTATAAATAAATGAAATTATATGATGTTATTGTTTTGGAAATATGCAAGTAAGGCTTTGTTTATAAATGTGATTGTTCAAGTATTCAAATGTTTATTTAGACTCATGAGCTTGATAATGTTGTCATATGCAGTGTGAATTGACATGAGAAATGGTTGCATGATCATAATGATGGCAGGGGTTCACTGTAGTGGGAGATTAATGATTGATATCCACGTGATTACACCAACATTGTAAGGCCTCGGTATTTGGTCATTGATTATACCCTTAAATCTAGCTAGTGAAGGTGGTAATAGGGCTCAGACCCTTAAACCACAACTAGCAAAGTTGGTAATAGGGTGTTTTTGTGACACACCATTGTTTGACATTGGGGAATCCATGGTCCAAAATTGAGTACGGGACCTTGACCCGGTTACTTTCCATAATTAGTGAGCTTGGACTAACCTAATCTTGTACTTTTGTAGCCCATGGATTTTGTTGGCGGTGATGAAACTTTGGTGGCTTATGATGATCATGCATTGCATTGATTTGTATTAAATGGTACTAAATTGTGTTATAATTGCCCACATTGCATGTCCATCGTTATTTGACTTGAGTGAACATGTTATAGATTACTTTAATTATTGAGTAGTTATATTCACCCCTTATTTAACATTTTACAGGCACTAGTTTAGGATTGAACAAGGGAAAAGCTCCTAAGGCATAGGATATTTGGTCCTTTCTGTAATGCCTCAGTTTACTTTTTGAGTTATGTGTAATTAACGTGATATTCTCAACTAGGAATTTTTTTTTGGTAACTTGCACCACTGCGTGCTGTTGTTGTGGACTGGTTATATTTAGTGTGCTAATTTATGTTATTAGGCTGTAAAGCTTTGAATAGAGCCTAAATATTAGTGTAAGTATGCTGTTGATTATTTTAATGACTATAGATTATAATGATGTGGATTTTATGTTGATTATCTCCCCCACCACATTTTGATGATATTAGGGTTAAGGATGAAATTGTAAAATGTGTTTTATGTGTACGTTTGGTTCATTAAGTAGGTTGTCAAGTCTTTTGGGCTTGATCTAAGTGGTATTATAAGCGATCGGCATTTTTGGTTGGATTTTAAACATCATGGATGTTTTAAAATGTGAAAAGACAATTGTTGTATTTCCAAATGTCTAACTTTATGGTGTGTTATTATTATAAATGAAATCAGAGGCAATAGCTAGTCCTATTTGTAAGTTTTTTTACAGACACAGATTATTCTAATTGGATGTTAGATGATAAATTGAGGGGCGTTGGAAGCTCATTCTTGGAATTAGTTTATGATAGCACAATGTTGTCCATATGCTTGTGTAGTGTGCCATGACATATGGTGCTTCCATTGTGGCTCATCGTATAGTGGAGGTCAAGTCATGATGGGTTGAGAGATGGTTGCGATGGACTCTCTTGAATTGTGAAAAAGATGTTTTTGCCCTTGTTTTTAGTTGATTTTTTAAATGTTGTTCCATGCTTCTAGTTGCTTTTCACTTTGATTCATACCTATTTGGAGTTTGTTGATATTTTATTTAATGGTTATAATTTGCAATCAAAATCTTATTATCATGGTAAATAACAATTAGGAGAGGTTAAGTTCATGTTGAACTTGGAGATTTTACACAAACCCACTCAAAGTTTCCTTAATTATTTTAGCTTTTGCTTTTGTAATTGGACCGCTTGGAATTTGTAAGTTGAAATAGTTTGTTGTATCATATCATCAGTGAGTTTGGATGTTAAGAAAAGAGTAATAGTGAGGATAAAGCAAGTAGTTAGAGCTAGCTTGAATAAGCTTGAAAATTTGTAAGGTGGACTTGGATTTTAAAAAAAATTTGTTTACTTTTAAGCTTATTTGGGTTGGCTGAAGAATTTTAGGCAAAGCCTAAATTTAAATGGGTTTATCTCGAATACCCAAATTATTTTTTTCATTATTGATAAAATAAAATGAAAATAAGATAACAATTGAAAATCTTAATTTTTTAAGATAAAAATTCAAATTAGCTAAAAAATAAAAATTTAATTTAATTTAATTTAATAATTTAGGTGGTGTTAAGGTTGGACTTGATTGCATAGACTTTTTTTATATATTCAGATGTTCTAAGCTTGATTTGGAATAAATTTGGCCTGAATTGAGCCCGACTTGCTTGAATTTCCAGCTTTAAATGAAAATCATATATATATATATATATATATATGTATGAATGTATGTATATATAATGGAGTTATGCCTTGCATTTGTTCCTTTTAAGTAACCTAATTCTTTATTTAAAAGTAATAAACCCATGTCATTTCATGAACTAACGTAATTTAGTAATTAATAACCAATGATTATTTAAAATAATTTTTTCATGAAGAATAACAGCTCTTTAATATGTAGAGTTTTTATTTGAAATAAGACTTCCTTTCATCAAATGGTCAGTACTACAGTATTTTTTGGTTTTATAACATTCCACGGTGCCTCTAGGAATTAGCAGAGGCATGTAACTTTTACTATTATAACTTCCTACATAACCCTTTATTAAAAGTTCCTTAATTTACAAGGACGTCATGGCTTTTCAAAAATCAATGTCTCTTCGTTTTGAAAAAAATTGTAACACGTTTTGTATTAAAATATATCCAATTTACAAAGTCTAGGCCCAGAAAAATGGCATTAAATGGATAGCCCGACGTTGGTTAAAAAAAAAAAAGAATAGCCCGACAAGCTTGGCCTAGTAGGGCTACACAATTAATCCAACATAGATGACACAGGCGCCATACATGCGATATTTCTTTCAGAAATAAGCCACATCTTCACATGCGCGCTTTTATTTGTTATCGATTCAAATATACAATCTATACAACACAACCAGCAGGCAGTGACGGATTTAGAAACATTAGTTTGTGGGGAAAAATTAATACATAAGATAAATATTAATATTATTAATAAATCAATTATAATTTTTTATTAAATTATATTAAATATAAAATTTATTAAAATTAAATGCTATCAAAGAACTATACATAAAATATAAAATTATCATGACATAAAAATTATATATCTATTAGAATTTTGCTTTTCATTTTAATAAATACAAGTTAACTCTCTTGAGTTTTAATTAATAAAAGTAAGTTCAATTAATAAAGACTTAGTTCATGATCTCCTAAGATTAGTCTCATATAAACTTTTTTGTGCCAACAAAATTTAATTCTTGTATATAATATAAATTTTTGTGATAAAACTTTTAATTTAAACAATCAAAGAAATTATTTTTTCTTAACTATGGTTCCCTTCTTTTTAAAACTGTCTATTTAAGATTAAAACTCACAAATAAGACCTTGGTTAAATAAATATTTTAGGAAATTAGTGAAATTTTTAATAGGACCATATGAATTTTCTTTTCCTTTTTGAGTGGGCACGGGCAGATAAATTTTTAAATGGCGGCCAACGAAATATTTAGTATCATTATATGTTTTTTTTTCCATGTTACAAGTACATCCGTCCCGGCCAGCAGGCACACCAACACGTGACATTCCTTAGTGATTCTAACACAAAATTATTTAGCTAAAAAGCACACTGCAATTTATAAACAAAGAGTGACACATTCACATATAACACAGTCTCTGTGTGCGTGTGCGTGCGTGCGTGTGTGTGTAGACACACCCGTGCATGTATCACTTATTCTTGATATGCATATAGTAAGTTTGATTCTATGTAGATTCAAGCCTTTAATTCTGGACTATCATTTTTAAACCTAGACAGCCAGAATAAGACCAGGGACGGACTCATCACAAAGCTTGCTCTGCCAAATGCTTTGACACATGGAAGCAACGAAGGAGGAGGAGGAAGAGGAGGAGGACGATGAAGATGGCGATGATGTCATTGAAGAGGCAGGGTCTCCTTCGTTCCCAAGTCGAGTGACGGTGAGGGAAGTATTCAGATACTCCCTGACCTGCGTGATTATCCCATCAGTGAGAGTCCAAGCATGAACCCACCACACAAGGTTGGTTTCATCATATCCTTCAGCAATGACCAGTGATCCAAATCCTACGACCACATCAGGAACCAAAACGACGACAGAACGCTTCTCCGAAGAAGAAGACGACAACGAAGTCCCGGTGAGGAGAGGAAGCAAATGGTAACGATGGCTTGGAGGGCCATGGAACCACCACTCCAGATCAGAAGCTAGAAAACGATGGAGATTGTGACTGTCTTTGGAGATCAAAGCACTGTATAACTCTGTGACCACCCTCTTGTTTCTCTCCTCTTCCTCTTGAAGGCATGCCTCTGAGTTTGCCAGCTCGAGCTATATGGCCTTTTCGATCGACCTCAAGAGCTATATGAGTCTGTTAGAGAAACTTAGATTGAATGTGATGTGTGAGAAGGTGATGTAGTAATGCTTTATATAGAGGGGGAGAGAAAAAGTTTGCCACAAATGGAGGATTAACGGACCTACGTGATAAGATTATATACTATTTGTTTTATGCCGCTACTGGCTGCATGCCTGCAATATTATATTTATTTTTGTAAAGTTATTAGTTATTATATGCATTGGTAGGAAAAAGTTTGTGATTGGATGTTCGACTGTTTTTCCCCTCTTTACAGATGTTCGAAAGTTTTAGGTTGGGAAGATGAAAGGAAAGAGTGAGTGGAATGAAGATTCTATATTATACACTAATGGCATGTTTGGTTGTTGAAAAGAATGATGATAGAATGGAATAGAGTAACATAAAATAAAATAAACTAAAATGATAGTGATCATGTATAGATTTTTGTGTAAGACAGTAATGCAAACATAAAATACTACTCCTACCGATCCTAAGGAGTTGAAGCAAACATGAGACCCGAGCTATATTTTTGTCTTATCAAATAAAACCAGTGGTCCATGAAATCTTAAATTAGTCATATATATGTTCATAATTTGTGGCAATGTGAATTTTTATAAACTTTAATTTTATATATTTATTGACATATTGATTAAAGAATAGAAAAACAAATATTTATGTATTACACCAAGGCATACAAATTTTTCAAAAGGAACATACAATTTAAAAAGTATATAATATCTTTGCATTTTACTAAATAATAAATGAATTGGGTGTGTGCCTATGAAGAATTGACTCCAACCATTTATTTGAAAAATAGTAATATTTCAGGCAACTTTAATAATAGTACTTAAGAAATTATTACTTCTTAATTACCATAAAAATAGAATTTTATGGAGGGTTTTTTAAATTATTAATCGTATTAAATTATGATTTAACCTTATACTCAAACAAGGTAACAAATAAAAAATAATCATTGTCGTAGAAAAAATATTATAATTTCAGAGAGTATAATCAACATTTTAAAATGTTCCAATTATAACTTACTTATATAATTTTTAAATAAATTTTATTTTTTAAACTATCAATTATCATTATATTATAAACTGTGTTTTAAATATAATTTTTTCACCCTTCTTTTCCCTCCAAACAAACCCTATTACACCATGAAATCTAAAAGTTTGTTAGACCCTGGACGAAATCTAAACAAATCTTCTCACGAACAACACTTTTAAAAATTACAAAAATAGAAATTAAAAGGGAAAACAAAATCCTTGATTTTGATGATATTTCTGAGAGCATCTAAAGGGGTAGTACGGAAAGTGGTAGTAGAGAATCAAGTCCGGATGTGATACAACTAATTACCTCACTTCAATATTAGAAAAGAAAAAATAGTTATTTACACTTCAAAAATTAATGTATTTCTTAATTAAATTAAAATAATTATATTTTTGCTCATAAAAAAGCGACTATATATATATATATATATATTTTAAGATTACGAGGGTTTAAACTTCAACCCTTCATGGCTTCATCTCCGTCCTAAGCCTCAAGTGGTCAAAATAAGTGGACTTTAAATTTAAAAATGTGTTAAAAATATTAATGATAAAAATTATATTCGTTGGAAAATAAATTATGGATAAAAAACATACACTTGTTTAATTTAAAAAAAAACACATTAATATCAGTTTAAGTACCAAATAATTTTTTTGCCATGAAAACTTGTAGCTTGTTGGTTGGTGTGCTGCACATTTAACCTGCACATTGCAAGTTCGAATTGGCAGATAAAAAAACAAAAAAGAGTTCCAAATAAATTTTGTTCAATGATAGGTTCAGCCAGGGAAGGCAGTTCTTGCCACCATATATATTAGTTTATGAATTAATTATTTAATTCTATTGCATGCATAATTGGACTCGTATGTCACAAAACACATCATTAGTGGCCATAAGTCTTTCCCATTTGACTTTTTATTTGGATAATATAAAAATTGTTTCCATATATTGTCGGTTCTAATTTTGCTTTTTGTCACTTTGATAGTTATACTCTTTTTTTTTTTTTTGTTAAAAACAACTTTGATAGTTATATAAAAAAAACTTGTGCAAGTACCAATGGCAAATTAAGATTTGAATCCATTGCATGTTGTAACAAGTTAACAAGATTAAATATGTAGAAGGTATTGTTAATATGTTCTTCTAGTGAACTAACAAGAATACATTATTAAAATAACAAGTTAATCTATGACTTCAACAAGTCCACTTCATACTGCAACAAGTTAACAAGATTAAATATTTAGATGGTATTATTAAAAAGTCCTCTTAGTAAATTGATAAGTACACATTATTAAAATGACAAGTTATGTTAGGGTTTTAATAAATCCACTTTATAGCATAACAAGTCAACAAGATTGGACATGTATAAGACATTGTTAACAATTTTTATTAGTGAATTAACAATTACACAATTGTGAAGTGACGAGTTAGGTTAGGTATTAACTAGTCCACTTTATATTTTAAAAATACAGGATATTTTGGTTATTTCCTACCAAAACATATTTTTAATTTAGTCCCTTGGTCTTGCAGTATATTTTCACATTCTATCAGTCTTAATTTGAAATTAAACCCCTATAGGGATCCTTTACTAAAACCCCCCCTAGATTACACCTAATTATAGTCAAAAGTAACTGTTAAATTAATCCAAGTACTTCATGACAAGGTTCTCATCTTATTAAAATCAAATATAAAACTTTAACAAACCACGGCATTCATAATCACGAACAATGTGACTTGCTCAAGATTTTATATGCATACCTATTTAAATTTTGAATTTGATTTTTTTCATCAAAAATTCGTTTGAACAACCAATGAAAAAACTTGAAAACATGGTTTATTTGTTGTTATGTGAAATAACAACAATAAAAAAAATCTAGTTATAATAAAGGTATATCTTTCATGCAAAGAAGGGATAGAGATTGATGAAGAAAGGAAATGGGATTTTATGCCGTCCCTTCCTTTCAAATATTAATGCATTTCATGATAATTCATATATTTAAAAATGTAGGGCAGTAACTTTTTTTGCCTAAAATGTATGAGTATATATTTAAATTACATTCCTCATATTAGAAACAAATAATTAATGATTGTTACTAAATAAGTTTAAAGGTGAAAAATTTAGGATCTTAACTACCTAATTGTTTTCTCTTGGCATATGTGGGTTTGAGGTAAAATTGCCTAAGGCTAGTAGGTTACAGTTTTAATTTGGGTCAAGTGGAGAAGACTCAATTCCCTTTATGGGAGAGTTTCCCCAATTTTAGCATTACAATATATTCAAATCCAGAGGTCAATTTTGGTGTTAGTCTTACCAAAAACTTGGTTTAGTGGATATAATTAATTGTGAATCCTTTGCTCTAAATTCAAGAAATTTCAATACTCCATTTTTTTTTATGATCACTCCAAATTGGCATATTAGATGCTAAATAATGAAAACCAAAACCATGGTTCCAAAAAATGAAAAACAAGGAAAGTACTGAAAATGTAAAAATGGTGGATGGATGCTTTGAAACTTATAATTGAATTAATGAGGCATTTTATATCAATTTAAAATATGTTAAAATACATAGGTTTATTTCGATGATATATGGAAGGACCCTTTGTCCCTTGATGATCAATAAGAGACACCACTTAGATTGCGTTGATTAGTAGGCAAATGTTTATTGGATCTTTTTTATGTTTAGATTTTTAAAATATATATGTTAAAGTTTAACTTAAACGTGTAAGTGGCCCTAAAATATATGTTTAGATTGAATGCATGAGTCATTAAACTATAATAGTTTTCTAAAAATTGGACGATTTCAAATATAATATAAAAAAAAAGCTTTTAATTTTTTTAAAAGCCATAAAATTAAAATTTAAAAATTAGACCCATTCTAAAAGCCAATTTCATTTTTGGACCATTTACATATATAAAATATAATTTGAAACCATTTTTCTAAGAATATGTTGGTAGTTATAGATATAAATATATGTATTTTTGAGTCTATTTGTACATGATTTAATTAGAATCCACCTATATTTAATAAGTTATAAAATTTAAATTTATAATATTTTTTATTATAGTCATGTTGTGCTATTTTATAAACAAGTATTAAGTAGACATACTGTAGATTTAATATTTATAAATTTTATATTATAATATTATTTATATGTCAAAATTTGATTGCAATAGTCGCTTGAGCACCAAATTCAAATACTAGATGAACTCTAAATGTGTAGAGGACACAATTTAGGTCATCTCCTGAAGAGTTAGTTAAGGTTAATTTTAGAGTTATTCTTTAGAATGAACAGTTATCAAGAAGTGATTTCAAAGGTCAAAGTGAATGTAAGAACAACAATCTACTAGAACAAGTAATGGACAAGAAAGTAGGATGCAAAGTAAAGAATGCATGTGTATCCCATAGTAATAGTCGTTATATTTTTGCCTGAAGTGAAAAAGCTAAGTGTGGGAAAATTAATAAGTTTAGTTTTCTATATGCATTTCATTGCATATTAGATTTAGTTTATGCATTTCTTGGTCATTATAGGCGCCTTTTACGCTAATTTTCCCTAGTGTTAGAATTTCATTACATAAAGAATGTTTTAGAAGTAACTTTTTACAAAAATTTCACTCAAGCAACGATCTTGTGTCTTTTAACATGTTATTTTGATTGGTGGAATTAGTTTTTATTGATTCATACTAGGTTATAAGTTATTAGAAAAAGATATAAATCATGTGTGGGAAGTACTATGTAATTCTTTATACGTATTTGATTTTAATACTTCTACTTAAGTTGAATTTAATTATCACACACTATGGTTTAATTTCCGATTGAATATTTGGTTCTCTTGAACTGTAGGCCAGATAAATTAAGGAAATCAAGTGTGTGCAATATGACTATCAATTGGTCACTTAGAGGAACACTAATTGGCATCACATTCATATATTAAG